ACAGATACACCTCCATAAAAATCTGGAAAGCCGGGTTCAAGTTTGGGATTCTTAGGTTCCTCAGCATTCTGAGCTGGAACATGGTGGCAGGGAGAGCGGCGCCAGCTCAAGGCCTGTGGTGTGACTTCCTTCTGTTCCCAGCCCGGGTCCATCCCACACCACGAGGGCCCTTTCCCACACATGTCCTCATGTGCAATCAGCTGCCTGTCCCTTAAGAGGCCACTTCTCGAGTATACACAGTAGTGGCAGAGTCTACCCTCAGGAGGGTGGACTAAGAGAAGTGGGTTCAGAATCTGTTGGACATGGAGTTCTGAGGGCCCAGGGCCCCATGACTCCTCACCCTGAGTCTCCCTCCGTCTTGCCCAGTCTAGGGGTGATCCTGGCATTGTGGGAGCACAGACTTGGATCAAGCATAGCCCTGGACCATATACTATAAATGGCAAGGCCTGTGGGCAAAAAGGTGGTGGGGGGGGTACCAGGAAGGGGCTCATTTCTTAGAGGAAGTAGCATTTGTGCTAAGCCTGCCAGGAAGGTTGGAACTTCAGCGGATGGAGAAGTGAGGAAAGGTGCAAAGGCCGGGGGACCAGCCATCCAGGGTCAGAGTGTCTGTGAATTGTGACCACAGTGCAGAAAGCCTGGAGGTGAATCTGGGTCCTCCGAATAACAGGCAAAGCCTCCAGTGTCACGGTACCACATAGGGTGCCCCCACCAGCTGCGGAGCCCCTGAGAGGCAACCTCACCCATCAGAACAGAACGAGAGACCCTCCAGCTCATCCCATAGCAGCTCTGCATTGAGGAAAAAACCCCAACATGCCTCCCCGAATGCCATCTTCGTAATTGGCACTTCTTTTGTTGTTGTTAAATATTTTTTAATGTTTAATATTTTTTAAATATTTTTTTAATGTGTATTTTATTTTTGAGAGAGGGAGAAACAGAGCATGAGTCGGGGAGGGGCAGAGAGAGAGAGAGGGAGACACAGGATCCAAAGCAGGCTCCAGGCTCTGAGCTGTCAGCACAGAGCCTGACGCCAGGCTCGAACCCACAAACTGTGAGATCATGACCTGAGCCGAAATTGGACGCTTAACCGACTGAGCCACCCAGGTGCCCCGGTAATTCCAAATTGGGGAAGCTAGCTACTCCCAGCTTTCATAAGCTGCCCCTTGATTTGCTGTAAGAAATGACCCTGGAAAGAAGTTTCCTTAGGAATCAGTGCATCTCCATCATTTTGCCTGGTAGCCAGAGGCTGCTGGAGAATAAGCAGCCCCTTATCTCCTCTGGGAGCAGCCCTCTACCAAGGGTGGGCGTTGGTGAATAAATGCCCCAGCTCCCTGCCCTGCAGTTGAGACAATTCTGAGATGGGTGCTCTATGCTGTTTCCCAGAGTTGGGCACGGGATTAGGTTCGGCTTGCCCACAGTGCCCAACTAGCTTGTTAACACCATTGATTTCCAGGGCGCCTTGGTGGCTCAGTCGGTTTAGCGTCCGATTCTTGGTTTCAACTCAGGTCGTGATCTCATGGTTCCTGAGTTCAAGCCCTGCATAGAACTCTGTGCTGACCTCCAGGAGCCTGCTTGGGATTCGGTCTCCCTCTCTCTGCCCCTCTCCCTCCCTTCCCCCTCCCTGGCTCATGCTTGCATTCCCTCTCTCTCTCTCTCTCTCAATAAATAAATAAACTTAAAAAAACCAAAAAACCCCACACCATTCCCCACTCTCCTGTTGGTGCTTCCAGGAATCACCTCCCAAATCAAGGAGAGTTGACCTTTGAATGATATGGGGGTTAGGGCAGTTGAAAAATCCATGCATACCTTTTGACTCCCCCCAAACTTAACTACTAATAGCCTGCTGTTGACCAGAAGCCTTGCCGATAATATAAACAGTTATATATATATATAGATATACAGATATAGATATATATATGAATATATATCTATATGTTCTATGTATATATATATATGTTCTCTGTGTATATATATATATATGTTCTATATATTCTATGCTGTATTTTTACCATATAAAGCTAGAGAAAAGAAAATGTTAAGAAAATCATAAAGAAGAGAAAATACATTGACAGTACTGTACTTTGTTTGTTGGAAAAGAATCCTCACGTAAATGGACCTGTGCGTTTCCAACCCACGTTCTTCAAGGCTTGACTGCACTTCCATTTGTATCTTTGTCTCAGGATCTGTTTCTGGGGGATCTTGAACCAAACATAAGGACATTTCATGTTGCAGCTGGGCTTGTGGTTTTTCATTTTTAAATAAAGGCATTGAATGAAGTGATCACCAGTTCCTTCCAGGGCTCTGCCGGGAGTTTGAGTTTGTCTCATCTGCCTCGTAATGAAATGAAACAGGGCACCTTGGGGTGCCTGGCCAGCTCAGTAGGGAGAGCATTCGACTCTTGATCTTGGAGTCGATCTTGGAGTCGTGAGTTTGAGCCTCAGTTGGGCATAGGGGTTATGTAAATAAAAATAAGAACTAAAAAAAAAAAAAAAAAAAAAAAAGGAAACAGGGCACCTTGCTTTGTTTTCCTGGGGTCAAGTTTAACATGCCCCTGCCTTCTGTCCCTGCAGGATGGTCTTGTCTCTGTGTGGTGTGTGTGCGCTTGTGCAAGCAGGAGGGTCGGAGGCAGAGAAACAGAAAGAATCTGGCTTAGTATCCAAACCCCCTCTCAGAGTGCCCACAGGAGGCCGCTGAACGTAGAACCCACAAATCCGCAGGAGGGATTTTGTCTTTTCCTTTCATGAGTGGCTCCTTGCTGTGTCCCTGCTGGCTGCCCCCAAACCGGTGCAGCAGGAACTACAAAGAACACCTGGGCTTCCCACCCCTCCTCTGCTGACAGAAGCTTTTCTAGAAAGCCACCTGCAAAATGCAGAGTGTTGCATCCTGGGCCACTTCTGTTTCACATGCTTGCTTACATACTCCTTCTCCCTTTTCCTGTCCCTTCTTATCAGCTACGAACTGTATCGCAACAGAGTCAGCACGGGGGGCCCACTGCCCTGGTGGCCACAGAGTGGCTGGGGTCAGGCTATCTTGATCTTTGGAAAACAGGGTTCTGCTTGAGCGCATGCCAGTCAGTTGCACTTCCTGTGGCAATTCCTCCCCCCTTGCTTTTGTTTTTGTTTTTTATTTATTATTTTTTAATGTTTCTTTATTTTTGAGAGACAGTGTGCATGTGTGCGTGCGCGAGCATGCACACGAGTTGGGGAGGGACAGAGGGAGAAGGGGTCGGAGGATCCAAAGCAGGCTCTGAGCTGACAGCAGACGGCAGGGCTTGAACCCACAAACTGTGAGATCATGATGCTCAACTGAATGAACCACCCAGGCGCCCTTCCCCCTCTTGCTTTTAACCTCTTGGGAACAAGGTTTTGATGATGACAAAGCTGCTTGTCCCCCAGTTGGAGTCAGTGGTATTAGCTGGCCCCATGGTTGGGTCCCTTCCTTCCTCCCCTGATGAGTCTCTGTTCCTTCCTTTCCACTTGTGAGAAATGTCTGATTTCATAGGCAGAGAAGGTCTTCCTCAGGGAGGTCCTTGGCCCAGGGCAACAAGCCCACTAGCCTGGAGAAGACTGAAGGCAAGGTGGATCCAATAAGCCATGGGCAAGGACCGGAGGTGTAGACAGGCTGTTCTCACAGCCACGTTTCAGCCTCTGGCCTGCTGCTGGGGGAAGAGGCTTCATTGGGTCAAGGTCCGGAAGGAAGGCTGGAAGGACACCTTGAACACCAGTGGTCACCAAGGGAGTGCTGCCCACCAATCCCATCTGTGCAGAGTGGGCCAGCCTGGGCAGAGTCTTCCTTTGGAGGGCTTCATCCACCCACATTTCTACCCTATCCCCAGTATGGTTTCCTTCTCAGTAGAGGTTATGACAAGTTCAGCCATGTTTTGGTTTTACAAGGCCCAGGTGGAAGAAAAAAATTTCCCAAGCACAGCAGCCTCAGATGCCTAGATTCACACCCCGAGCTTTACTTTCTTTCCTTTTTTTTTTTTTAAATTTTTTTTACATTTATTTATTTTTGATAGAGAGAGACAGAGCCCAAGTGGGGGAGGGGCAGAGAGAGGAGGAGACACAGAATCCGAAGCAGGCTCCAGGCTCTGAGCTATCGGCACAGAGCCCGATGTGGGGCTTGAACTCACAAACCGTGAGATCATGACCTGAGCCAAAGTCGGACGCTTAACCGACTGAGCCACCCAGGTGCCCCCCGAGCTTCACTTTCGAGCATAGGACTCTGGTGGTAGGGGTGAGAATGCTGAGATTCCACATTCCACCAGCTCCCTGAGGCTACTGTTCCTGGTGGTCTCTCTAGTCCTGGGAGACACTCCTGAGTAGTGAGTCCTGAGTCCTGCTGGGTTTGAGAAACCTCAGCCAGGTTCTGGAAATGACCTACAGACATGCTGTCTGAGTTGGTGGCTATCACAGCCTCAACCCCAAAGCCAGGATTCTAGCCTTACTGTAGTGAAAGACCCTCTCTCCACAGTCTGTTTTTGGGTCATCTGCTATCAGCCACTCCAAAGGAAGGAAGTGAGCAGCCTGCATTTTGGGAAAAACATCATTATTTTAAGCTGTCCTGTCCCTTCCCCACCTCTCTAAGTTATATAACACGTCCTTGTTGAAAATGCTGATAATGCTATTTGGGTGGCAGGAAGCCAATTTCTGGCTGCATGTTGCTTGGGGGCTGGGGCTGGGGTCAGGGTGGGAGGTGGGGTCTGCGGAGGGTTTAAGGAGAGAAAGGGGACAGGCAGATGGAGAGGCCAAGGCCTGGGGATAAAGCCGATTGGTGTGTCAGCAAAATCTGTCACTGGCTTTGGTGATTCGAAAGGCAGACACATTCTTTCATCTCTGTTGATCCTCATCTGATACAGGATTTTCCTGCCATTAAATCTGGAGACAGAAAAATAAGCGCTCAAACCTGCACAAGCAAGTATTCCTCCTCGACTCCTGCTCACCACCCCACCCCCCTTTACTCTGTCGGACCATTTTTAGCACTGTGGCTGCGGGACTCCGGAGATGGATGGGCTGGGGGAGCCGAAGGGCACCTCTGAGGAGGAGCAGGACCAGGCAGACCCCCAGGACAGTAAGCAACATTTGGGGACTATTCACGAATGTTTCTTTGCAGAGGTTTCCGCTCTGGCCATTTGCTTGCTGGGCTGTCAGTGAGTCCATCTGTGTTGCTGTCAGGGTTTTAGTCTGACCAAGGGTTTCCGAACAGATCCAAGCTGTCAGGGCGGGGGGAGCTTCTGATTGGCTGTTGTTACTGGTTTCTCTTAACTCGACACCAAGGTGAATGGGGAGACATGAGTGTGAGGAAGAAGAGGGCAAAGGCAGGGCATTCAGGAGGAAGGGTGGAGGTGTGGGGAGGGGTCTGTGTGTCCTGGTTCTCAAGGGAACCCTCATGGGCACTCGGTGACCTGTGCTGTCTCCCCTCAGGTAGGGCTTCCACAGCTGGGTGGCTCTAAGCCACCAGGTGCGTGAAAGGCCACGGGATGCTGGTGCTGCTGCTGCATGGTGAGTTCCAAGGCCTGCTCCTTCTTGACCCCCAGCAGACAGCTGCCAGTGGGTGCAGGGGTTGGCAAGCCCATAGAAGATTCTAGAAGATGCATGGAGACCACAGGGCTTCTGCCCAAGGAGCTTGGTCTTCAAGTGGCTTCCATGGAAGATGTACATGGACACCAGTTCTGATTAGGTGTCACTGAACTGTGATCATGGGGGAGGGATTGGAAAATGAGATAAAACAGAGCAGGTGGTGGGTTTTGTTTGTTTAAATATAAAGATTCCTGGGGCACCTGAGGGGCTCAGTAGGTTGAGTGTCAGACTCTTGATTTTGGCTCAGGTCATGATCTCACGGTTTGTGGGATAGAGCCCTGCATCAGGTTCTGTGCTGACAGTGTGGAGTCTGCTTGGAATTCTTTGTCTCTCTGTCTCTCTCTCTCTCTCCCTTTCTCTCTCTGCCCCTCTCCCACTCACGCTCTCTCTCTCTCAAGAGAGATAAACATTAAAACCCCCCCACAAAATTCCTGAGCCGTATATATAAAATAGCCTTTTGGTGATTTTCAATTTCAGATATGAATTCATTGGTGTAATCACCAAAAAGTGCAGTGGTTTTCTAATCATATTATTTTAAGCTCATTTAGTTAAGAAAAAATCTCTTAAACCATCTTCCTAAAGGAAGAAGGACAAATGAAAATAGGGGTGCCTGGGTGGCTCAGTTGGTTAAGTATCCGACTCAGCTCAGGTCATGATCTCACGGTTCGTGAGTTCAAGTCTCGCATCAAGCTCTGTACTGACAGTGTGGACTCTGCTTGGGATTCTGTGTCTCCCTTTCTTTCTGCCCCTCCCCTGATCACACACACTCTCTCTCTCAAAAATGAATTAAACATAAAAAATTTAAAAAAAGAAAAAATGAGAGTATGTTGGAATTGTGGGATTATGGGTGATGAAACATTTTGCCCAAGTTTTTTAGTCCTATTGTTATGTGGGTTTTAATATAACCAGGAGACTCATCACAAAGATTTTTCCCCCACCTCTATAGCCCCACCTGCTCAAATCTGAGATTGCCCAAGGAAAAAATCCCTTGATAAATTCTGCAGTAAAGAATCCTATACAAACAATCTGTTTTTTCTGACCCTCGGGTGAATGTAATTATTTGAGGTCATAACTACCTATGTAATAGACTTCTGTGTGCAGTGCTGGCAGAGAAAATTTACCAGATAATTCTAAAATGGTAGCAATAGAATTTTCTTACCCTTTAGTTCACTGTTTCAAAAAGTAGACCTTGCTCTATTCAATGGAATCAACAGGTACATATTGTTTGTATCTTCAATACACTCAAGGGATATTATGAAGGATATAACTGCATAGCTTTTGTCCTTGAGAAACTTCTATTCCTTTGTGAAAGATCCAATAAATAAATGAGAAAACAAATTGGAACAAGGTGCAGGGAACACTATGATAAATAGGACATGACTCTCTACCTCGAGGAGCCTCCAAAGGACAGAGGTTGACATTTATATAAATACGAACAGCCAGCTCCTTGCCATTTCTCCTACCTAGAAAGGATATGAAGTTTGATTGACTCATTGGGACAGAATGTTTGCTTCTAAGAGCCAATATGATTTTAAATGTGTACCGAAAGCTCTCCTGTTCCTGACAGAATGCAGACCGTATTCATAGCCTGTGCACTGCAAAACAGGAACTGTTCCTGCTGCCGCAGAAACCCGAAATACATCCCGACTTCTTGTGACAAGTTGGAGAGCTTAGCGGTGACATCATTTGCTAACAATAGATGCACTTAAAATTAATGACCCTCTCCACATCCCCTGGCGCTTTAATTTAAAACACACTCAGCAGCACAGACAATATTACTCTGACTACAAGTCACAGGATTATGAACGACGTGTTCCCGAGATGCAGGCAGGGATAGGGTTCTACCTCCTTAGCTAGAAAAAAAAAAAAGATTAAATGAGCCTGACAACAAGGTCGTGGTAGAATCAGAAGGGGCTCACAGCAGGGTAAATCTGGGACAAAACCCAAACAGAAATTCTCTGGACAGGAGGGTTGCCTGGAAGGGCCTCTCCCCTCCCCCATGTGACACCCTTCAGGGTCTTCCTGCTGTCCACAGCTTAATATCCCGATTCCTTAACTCACTTTACGGGATTCTTCACCAATGGCGTGCTCTAAGCCACGGTCCTTTAACAAGGGCCAGGGTTTCTGTTTTATTTACTCTGCTGTCTCTAGAGTCTAAGACGCAGTAGGTGCTTAATAAGGATTTGTTTGTTCAATGGGTGAAGCCTCCCAGATTAGAACCATTACAATACCTGATAGAGGTCTTGCCCCTAAAAAATCTGTATGTATTTCAAAAACTCTTCAAACTCAATAATAAGACAACTCATTAAAAATTTTTTTTCTTTTCATTAAGTAATCTCTATGCCCAACGTGGGGCTTGAATTCACGACCCCATGATCAAGTCACATACTCCACCAACTGAGCCAGCCAGGTGCCCCTGAGACAACCCATTTTGAAAAAAATGGGACACCCATTTTGAATAGCTATTTCATCAGAGAAGATATACAAATAACTAATAAGCACATGAAAAGATGCTTAGCATCATTAGTCATTAGGGAGATGCAAATCAAAATCACAATGAGATACCACCTCACACCCAGGACGATGGCTAGAGTTAAGAAGACAATAGCAAGTGTTGGTGAGGATGTGGGGCAACTGAGGCATACACCTACCATATGACCCAGCAATTCCACTCCCAGGCAAATGCTGAATGAAAACACAAGTCCACAACAAGACTGGCCCACAGACCCTTCCATCAGCTTTAGTCACTTGTGGACAGGTAGGACTTTACCTGGGGCGACTGAGCCGAAGTAGAGAGTAGGATGTGCAACTAACTGAGCCACCCAGGTGCCCCTGATTCCATTTATATGAAATTCTAGAATAGGCAAAACTAATCTATCATTCAGAAAGCATATCGGTGGTTGTCTGGAGCTGCGGATGGGGAGGGGACCGCTGCCAGAAGGACCCAAGGAAACTTTCTGGGTGGTATGCATGTTCTAAATCATGATTAGGGTGGTGGTTACATGGGTGTATATATTTGTTACACACTTAAAATGGGTACATTTTATTGTAAGTAAATTATACCTCAATCAACTTGGCTTAAAAGAAAAAAGAAGTCTGTAGGGGGAGGGCACCTGCACCCCAAAGAGAACAAATCCTTCACTAACGAGACTCAGGTGCTGTAAGGTGTAGGGCAGTATGGGTGTGAGGTTCTGAGTGGAGAGTAGTGCTCTCTGGATGGGGGTACTGGTTTGTTCACTATTCATTCTATTGTTTAGTTTAGTTTTGTTTATAAATGTTTACTTATTTATTTTGAGAGACAGAGACAGAGAGAGAGAGCACAACCGGGGGGGGGGTGGTCAGAGAGAGGGGGAGACAAAGAATCCCAAGCAGGCTCCTTGCTAACAGTGCAGAGCCAGATGCAGGGCTTGAACACCCAACTTGTGAGATCATGACTTGAGCTGAAACCAAGAGCCAGACCCTTAACTGACTGGGCCACCCAGGTGCCCCTCATTCCCCTGTTGTTGAGCATTTGTTTTCAGTTATCAATATTGGGGCGATTATCAATATTTATGCCCGGAGGCCTCTGTGGGGGCCTTGTGTTCTAGAACTCAGATGGGACAGCTCTCTACCCTAAGATCCACAGGGCCTGTGAGGCTGTCAGCAGACCACCTTTCCTGAGACAAACTGGTTTCTCCATCTCCCAGGACTTTCATTAGCAAAGTGCAGGGTGAATCCATGATCCTTTCTTTACTGCCACAAAGGGTACATTTGCAGTATGAGAAGGAAGTTCTGGGGTTACTGTGAGATCAAAGGCCATGTGATGGTCTCCCCCACTTGCCTTTCTGGTTCCCCCCACCCCTTTTGTTTTGAAACTCCAGAACTGGTGGTGCCTGGGTGGCTCAGTCGGTTAAGCGTCTGACTTCAGCTCGGGTCATGATCTTGCGGTTTGTGAGTTCGAGTCCCGCGTCAGGCTCTGTGCTGACAGCTCAGAGCCTGGATCCTGCTTCAGATTCTGTGTGTCCCTCTCTCTCTGCCCCTCCCCAACTTGCACTCTGTCTCTCTTTCTCTGTCTGTCTCAAGAATAAATAAACATTCAAAAATTAGAAAATCCAGCACTGGGTCCTGGCCTGAGGAGCATTGGCCGGGAGTAGGATGAAAATGACTTCTGGAGCCAAAGTGGCTGACTAGATTTTGCTGAAAGCAGAAAATTGACCATATTTTCCCTTGCTATTTTGGTTTCATGAGGCACAAGTTCTTTGAAAACAATGGGAATGAAGAAACGCTTCCAACTCAGCCTGTGGTTGGAAACTCCATGAGTAACTGTTCTCCTAGCAAACCTCGAGGGGGAAAAGCGCATATCCGAAAAGCCGAGGACCTATGAAGGAGAAATTCCTCAGCTGGCCTGCATTAAGACATCATTCTGTGGGCCATCCGAGCCCAGCCATCACTGGCTCCCTGCAGCTTGGGGGCTGGCCAGCACGTCAGACCATGACACAAAAGCAGGGACCC